CCATTTCTTGGCGGATCCTTTTCATCTTCGAACTCGACCGAGATATTGTCAAGACTAAACTGTGTAGAAAATTTCATCGCAATCTGACTCTCCTTTCGAAAGTTATCGTGTAAACGGCCGGCCGGACGGCCGGACGGACACACAGACCGATTTTAGTAGTGTACTCACTTTTTGAGTACACTAAAAGGAAATAAAATTTGGAAATACCGATACGTTAAAAGGGTCATACATAAAAAAAACGTTGTATTAAAAATCATTTTTTTCTATAATTAGATTGTTGTGATCTTAGACGTCGATTATAGGATCTAATAGCTTTCCTCATAGAATCTGACGAGATGCAACTATCTTAATTCTCGTAGTAAATTTATTATATTAACTGTCAATATCATCATTACGAACGTTGTTGCTTTGCAAAGTGTGTTACTCATAGTTGTTATCTATGCAATAGATCTATCTTACATATGTATAATTCATTCGCCCTTGGTAAGTTATAGAAATCTAAGAAGTTGCTCTTTTGAAAATTAATTTAAATTAAAAATTTCTTATGAAAAGTGTAAGAAAAATAAGTAAATTCATGATAAATATTCGGACACTCAGCTATCAGTGAATTGTTTTTGCCGTCTTCCAGACATTCTCTATGAATAGCACTAAAGTAACAAAATAGGTTCAAGCTCAAAGAAATTAAACAATATTCTTCATTTGAATTATTTAAACAAGAGTAAGACATTTAAAAAATATACTTGGAGACAAGAAAGTATGAGATATTGGTTTTTTTAGAATCATCTTGTGCTTAATAATTGTGAGCTAACGACCAAACAATAGCTTTTTATTTCATAGTGTCAGTTAATATTCTAAAATCCAGTAAACTAGGTGGCAATGATTAGACATTGTATTTCTACTAATTCTAATTTTGATATGCTTTTATTATCATCAATTATCCTACATAAATATTAATAGAGAAGATAGAAACAGACATTCAGTATTGTATTTTTTTTTCTATCATCATTAAAGATAATCAAAACTTGAATTAGTCTTCATGTATTTTTTTTAATACTAAACTTTGCTTAAATCTAAACTCAATTTAATAAACGTAGAATTTGAGCGCTTAACTTTGTCATTAATATTTTGATGCATTTACAAACAATTTCATCTCATTATATAAATGAACTTCGTAATAAACTAAAACAATATCCAAATGTTCCAATCGAAGCTGAACTTGATATTCTTAAACCAATGGTACCATTACATATATGGAAACAAACTACTATAACAAAAGATGATTATGCTGTACGTATTGCTCGTTTACTA